ACAGAATCACACTCAGTCTTATGATTACAAGCATTGATCCTGATATCAACCTCTTATTAAATGACTTACATGAATCTAACAGCAACTGTAATTATTACACAGCAAAACGAGCAAAGACACTACTCAGAACCAACAGTAACATAACAGTCTTTAATTACAATATCAGATCTTTGAGCAAACATTACGATGACCTCACAGCATTACTGAATTCCCTTCATACCAGTATGTCTATCATTACTCTCACTGAAACCTGGCTAAAGCCTGGTACTACAGATGTCTATGCCATTACTGGTTACACAGCCATACACAACTGTAGGCCAAACCAGCAAGGGGGTGGCACACCTATATACTATTCAGATCAGTTTGAATGTATCAATAATACTTGCACAAGGGATGAACATGGAGAACATATTATAGCTAAATTTAAATCCAAAGACCTACAGAAACCTCTCACAGTGATAGACATCTACAAAGTACCACAGTCAAACATTTACCAAATTAGTGAAAAATTAGGAAGCATGATAACTGATGCACACACGAACAAAGACCACTAGTTGCTCACAGGCAACTTCAATATAAATCTCCTGCATGACCAGGACCCACAAGTAACTGAATTCGCAAACACTGAGCAACTGCTTGCTACTACCAACAGTAACAAAACCTACAAGAATCTCAGAGACTAGTATCTCCTTATAGACCACATCTGGACTAACACCATATCCCTTTTAAAATCAGGCATAATCACAGATAACACCACAGACCACTACCCTACCTTTCTCATAACCAACCTAGGTAAATTGCCCCAAGACACTACTAAAGTTACCTTCATACTACATAATGAGACAGCTATTAATAACTTTATAACAGCAATGACAAACACTGACTGGCACAACCAGCTAGAAATTTACAGAGGTACTGATGAATGTATTAATAATTTTCTAAAAAAGACCAAATACATCTATAACATGCACTGCCCTAAAACACTAAACAGGTCACAACTAAGAGACTGAACAATCCCTGGCTAACACCCAGCATCCTCAAATCCATTAATAAAGAGCACCTATATGAAAAACAGTACGAAATGGGGCAAATAACCAGGGATCAAACTAAATGTTACTAATGAATCCTAACCAGCCTAAGGTAAAAAAAAAAAAAAAAAAAAAAATGTATTATGAGAACAGATTACATAACTTAAAAGGTGATATGAAAAAGGCCTGGAAAACCTTATCTGAAATTCTAGGAACTAAAAAGATATCCAAAAACAAAACAATGAAACTAACAAAACCAAACGAACCCCTACTCCCACCGAATGAAACAGCAAATAGACTCAATGTTTTCTTCTCCACCATAGCGAGCAGAATCCCAAGCTCAAACACCCCACCAAAAGACTACCTCACTGGCACCTACCCGAATGCACTATTCCTAGCTCCAATCAGCCCAAAAGAAGTCTCGTTCATCAACAACACACTTAACCCTTAAACTGTCCAAACGTAGATCTACAATGACGTGCGTAGTGCTCCGAACGTAGATCTACGTCCGATTTTACATGCTTTCAAATGGAGAAAATGAAGGTCAGAGCTCTACACACGTCAACGTAGATCTACGTTTGGACAGTTTAAGGGTTAAAAATAAGGCAGGAGATTTAAGTAACTTACCACCTTTTATGTACAAAAAAGCTTCTCAAGTACTGTCACCAATTATTGCAACACTCTTTAACAAATCCATCGAATCCTCCACCTTCCCATCAATTCTCAAAATAGCAGGGATCACCCCAATCCACAAACGAGGAGATCAAGCAGAACTGAATAACTACAGGCCAATATCTAACTTACCCCTTCTCTCTAAAATCTCTGAAAAATTAATTCATAGGCAGATCTATTCCTACCTCATCTCCCACAACATACTCAACCCCTGTCAGTTTGGATTCAGGCCTAATAAAAACACGAATGATGTTATTATACACATGATAGAACTAATATACACCGCTCTCGAGAAAAAAGAAGTCCCACTGGGAATCTTCATTGCTTTTGATACAGCTGACCATGATTTGCTGCATATAAAATTAACGCACTAAGGTATAAGAGGGCACTCCCTCAACTACCTAAAGTCATACCTTAGCAACAGAAGCCAATGTGTGTACACAAATGGAGCTAACTTTTCCACACAACCAATTACAGTTGGGATCCCACAGGGAAGTGTCCTTGGCCCACTACTCTTTCTCATTTACATCAATGACCTACCAAATACATCTCAACTACTCAAACCCATATTATTTGCAGATGACACTACATACGTCATCTCTCACCCAAGCCCAGTCATACTAGCCAACACTGTAAATGCTGAATTACATAAAATATCTACCTGGATGATGACTAACAAGCTTACTCTCAATATTGACAAAACCTATTTCAGTCAGTTTGGAAACAGAGCTACAAATGTTCCACTTAACATGATGATAAATGGATCACCTGTCACAAGACTCACAGAGGGAAAATTCTTAGGA